GCCGTCCTGCGCCGTCAGCGGCACCGGTCTGGTTGAAGGTCTGGACTGGCTCTCTAATGAGATCCTGAAACGGTAGCAGACATCAGGGGGACGAGGAGTTTTGCTTCACTTTGTTTGTTGAGTCTTCTGTCTTCTATGAACTGAGGTGAGAGGTGAATTCAGAAGCAGCGACTTTGCAACTGTTAAATCGACCTCATCACAAGGACATTTGACGGGAAATGCTGTCACTCAGAGTTCTAGAAGAGACTCAAAAACAGGAGATAAAAGTCTAAACGGGGCTAATTTCCATGAATTTTTATTAACTTTTCATTTTAATCACTTTTGTTCAAACTTTCTGAGACAACACAAGCTGCTTTAAAACTGCCTCCACAGAACACACCAGAACGGTGTTTTAATTTTTCTCATCTATCAGACTTACTTTACTTACTAACGTAGTACGTAAGTTATCGAAGGTTAGCATTGTCTCAAGTGGACCACGATGAGTTTTATCCTTACCACAAATGACGTTTGAAATGTTTAAACCACATTTTATGAACAGCTGCCAGAAGTTGTGCCTTTGATCGTTAAATTCACTACACGTGCCAAATAACGCCCTAACATGTGTTATGTTGTTTTTACCTGCAAAAAAACCCCTCAGTGCTGCTCTTTCTTAGCTAGCTGGCACCATCATCACAATGAAAGTTGTTTAGCAGTCCCTCTGATGCAGCCAGTCATGTGAACCCAGCTGCGCACTCCAAATAGTGATTGTAAATATGGACGAATGAGACCAAAGATATAAAAGAATTGTATATCTACTGTTATAGCTCTGATAGACACAGCATAGATGGACATCACCCACTGCTTAATGAAATATTGCTGTAAAGCCTCAAGATTTGTTTGTTTTTTGTTTTTTTTTCACCATCACCAAATTGTTGTTTTGAAACAATCAGCTCATTGGATAATATCTTGTCAGTCACAATGATAGCCTGGCTCTTAAAATGACCATAATTAAGTAAATTAATGACTGTTTTATTGAGTATGACCCGAAACCAGACATCATGAAAGTGTTTAGTGGGGTCAGGGCAGAGGGATGTTTTTGCATAGATTTTTAGGACAATCAGTCTTTTTGCAGCCACAGGTTTCGCCCCCTGGTGGCTTTTACATTTACTTAAAAACTGAGGGCGTCACTGTTCAGTGAAGCCACCATTTTTCATAAGGGTTGGCACATGGAGGACAAAAAAGACATTCAAAATGCTGATGGGAAATTTTTAGAAAAGACT